GTAGTACACATGCTGTCTATCAGCATTCAGAATTTCAGAACTGACTCTCTTTTAAATTCATGAATGTGAATCTGAATTGGTCAGATGTTGAACTGAAATGACAGGAAGAAGAATTTCTGACAGTCACACATCTATGGAATTTCATTAGTCACCGATGTGGTTTGTGACAAAACAAAAATAATAACATTGACAATTACATTATTATAATACAATATTATTAGTGCAACATTTGTATACATCATTTTTAACAAGTTGACACAAATCGGGGGAAATCATGTTTCTTTTCTGTTTAATGCACCTTAATGCTTTGATGCTGTAATAATGACTGGCTTCACCTGAGCTCTTCTGTCTTCTTCATGATGTCTCTCACTGCTGCTGTCACCCTGCTGCTCTCAGGCCACGCCCCTCACAGAGGCCACGCCCATCCCAGACACGCCCACCAGTGTCAAAGGAGCCAGGGTATTAACCTGCTCTCACACACACACACACACACACACACACACACCCACAGACATCAGAGATAGTGTGAATATTGCAGTTCCTCCATTCAGACGCACATTTAGCACATTTGGTGTGCTTTCATCTGCTTTATGCTGCTTGCGCTGTTTCTGCAGCTTCGTTTTTGGAGGAGCCACAGTATGTTTCTTTGTTCAACAAGCTCTTTATTCTCACATGAGAACTGAATGCTGATGCTATTACTGAGTGCAGCTCCATCAGCTGTTCTCTGGCTCCATCTACTGCCTGTACTTTGTAAAACAGCACTTCAGAACTCATGCTGTGGTACTTGCTGTTTAGTGCTTTTAGTAGAGACATCTCTTTTGCCATCTCGAGTTAAATGTTTTGGTGGGTCAGAATTTGCATTAACACTTAATTCATTATAAACATTTCCACATCTGTAGAGTTGTTGAGATCACATTTGTTGAAGTACATCAGTAAGGTTTAGGATAAAAAAAGAAATATGATCTAACTCTTTACATGTTAGCTAATTAACCAATAATAATTTGTATATTACAGTGACAATTGATGAACTGTATACTATATGGAATATTAATGTATTAACAGTGTAGAGACTACAGTTGCTAAACTATGAATTAACTAGTTAGCAAATGATTTATAAGTACTTTATTACTATATACTGTAAAGTGTTACTGAATTCTGTAATATGTAACGTTTGATTGACATCTGCTCTGTCCAATCACGCAGGTGTCGTGCGCAGCAGAGGCGGAGCCTGTCGTGCTGGAACTGGCCAAACAGTTCGGTCTCTCCAGAAACAGTCACATGGCCTTTGAGTTTGATGACAAAAAGGTGAAGAACAGGTGAGTGTCAGTTATCATCGTCTTCATCGTCCTCATCCTTGTCATCATCCTCATGCGTGTGTGTCTGCTCCTCAGGCTGATCATCGAGTTCGAGATACGCACAGAAGCAGACTCTGGGCTGGTGTTCTACATGGCCAGGATAAACCACGCTGACTTCGCCACCATCCAGCTGAAGGAGGGAATGGCTCACCTGAGCTACGATCTGGGCAGCGGCAACACCTCCGTCAGCGTGCCGCGCATCATCAACGACGGGCAGTGGCACAAGGTCAGAGCGTCTGGCCTTTGATCCCTGATGCATGACACACTTTCCCTGCCTGACCTGATTCACAGCACACAGCTCATCCAGATACAAGACGGTGCTTTTGAATAATATTTTGTCTCATATTCTACGATGACCTGGATCATGGAAAAGATTAATGGGTCATAATTAGGCCGGAAACATAATTGATGCATGTTTATCCAGTGCATTACAAGCATCAAGCATGCCGTGTCACTGAACTACCATTTATTTATTTATGACAGAAATGAATACTTCTATTCATCAAGGACGCATTCAATTGATCAAAAGTGACTCTTAAGACATTTATAATGATACAAATTATAAAAAATAAATGCTGTTCTTTTGAACTTTCTGTTCATCTGTGAATCCTGAAAAATTAAATGCATCACAGTTTCCACAAAAATATTGTGCAGCACAACTGTTTTCAACATTGATAATAATCAGAAATGTTTCTTGAGCAGCAAATCAGCATATTAGAATGATTTCTGAAGATCATGTGACACTGAAGACTGGAGTAATGATGCTGAAAGAAAACTAATAATATTTCACAATATTACTGTTTTAACTGTATTTTTGATCGAATAAATGCAGCCTTGGTGAGCAGAAGAGACTTTTTTTTTTTCAGAAACGTTAATAAAATCTTACAGACCTCTTACAAACTTTTGAACTTGGTGTGTGTGTGAAGGTCAGAGTATTAAAAGCAAGCAAGTGTTGATTTCTTCTCCTTCTGCGTTTAGATCCGTGTGACGAGAGAGAAGCAGAGAGGATTTCTCGTGATTGACGGCCGTTACTCCAAACACACCACCAGCCCAAAGAAAGCTGATATTCTGGATGTGGTGGGAATGTTGTATGTGGGAGGTTTACCGCTCAACTACACCACCAAACGCATCGGACCGGTGAGCACACAACCACACACACATTCATTAGAGTCAAAACACCCCTTGAGGACACCGTCTGATGTTGCCTGTGCTTTTGTAGGTGCTGTACAGTATCGACGCCTGCATTAGGAACTTCAAGATGATGAATCTGCTGCTGGACATGGAGAAACCCACATCCAGCTACCGCGTGGGCTCCTGCTTCGCCAACCCAGAAAAAGGAACTTATTTTGATGGCACAGGCTATGCTAAAGCTGGTGAGGATCCATTGTAGTAATTTACA